TCCGGGACTGGAGGCCTGGGTCGGGGCCCGCGCCGCCCCCCGCGCGCCGCCCCCGCTGAGCCTGAGCCGGGTCGGGCGCCGCAGGCACCATGGTGCAGAAGTCGCGCAACGGCGGCGTGTACCCCGGCGCGAGCGGGGAGAAGAAGCTCAAGGTGGGCTTCGTGGGGCTGGACCCCGGCGCGCCCGACTCCACTCGCGACGGCGCGCTGCTCATCGCCGGCTCCGAGGCCCCCAAGCGTGGCAGCGTCTTGAGCAAGCCGCGCGCGGGCGGCGCCGGAGCCGGGAAGCCCCCGAAGCGCAACGCCTTCTACCGCAAGCTGCAGAATTTCCTCTACAACGTGCTGGAGCGGCCCCGCGGCTGGGCATTCATCTACCACGCCTACGTGTGAGTGGCCGCCGGTGCGCGCCGCGGGTCCCGCGCGACCCTCGTGGGGTCGCGGGCTAACCGAGGGGCCCTGGTGTGCGTGTCCCCGTGCGCGCCTGGATCTCACCGTGGGTCTGGGATTTGGGTCATGGCACTGCGGTCCGTGGTGAAAGCGAAGGGCAGAGATTGGAGAGCGACTTTTGGAGATCATTCTGGGGACAGGGACTGACCAGGTGGGGTGCGGACGCCTGGCTGGTTTGCACCAGCCCCTCCCCCGCAGGACGGGATGTGCTGGCGCCCCAGCCCCCCTCGGCCTGGTAGGCCCCTCCCCAAGGCCCGCAGCGCGGAACAAAGGGCCGGAGAAGAGGGAGGGCGGCGCGCTCTGGGTCTGGACTCCTGAGCCCCTCAGTGCCCTGCGCCCTCCCCCAACCAAGTGGGGGCAGCGGAGAGGGTTGGCATCTTTTCGGCGTCCTCCTGACCTCTTTCTAACCATCTGAGCTTCCGGGTTGCAGAAATGGGGAGGGGGCCTAACAGCATCTCAGCCTGGGGCTGAGGGCAGCTGCCCGCATCCATCCCTGGAGACAGGCTCTCCCTGCACTCCATGCCCATCATGCAACCCATGTACACCTGCTGGTGGCCCTTCTGCACGTACTGAGCTCCGGATCCCCAAGTGGAGGCCAGCAGCACGGACTGCTGTTGTCCCCCACTGCTGCCAGTTTGGGGCCTGGAAGGGGCTGGCCCCTGTCTCCAAGAATGGAGCTCAGGGTATTGCTACTGCCTCCTGGGACAGAGCTGGCAGGGGGCAACCCCTGTGGGTGTACATGGATGTTCATGTGTCATTTCACATGGATTGCTGTGTGTGTGCTAGTGTGCACAACCCCCCAGTGCAAGGACATTTGCTGTCCTATTCCAGTGAAACCAGGGACAGAGGAGGAGCACTGAGACTCGGCCATTTTGTATGAGAGGCATTTTGGGATGGGAGTGAGATGCAGGTCTGGGAAAGTCTCTGTGCCCACCTCGCCTGGCCTTGGCAGGGTGGGTGTCCTATGAGTGTGCCAGTGTGTGCCTGGGAGTGTTTTGGATGTGATATGGGTAGGTTTGAGGTTGGGGGAAAGATCCATGGAGGGGAATGCCAGGCTGATGTCCTGAGGGTGGCCACAACCTTGGTGGTGGTGGGGGGACCCTGTGGGCAGTCCTGAGACTCCCGAAGGCAGGAGTTTCACTGGATAGGCTACACAAGGTGAACAGTGTGGCATCAGCCCCCACCTCCTCCAGAGAGGTGAATCTAGTTTTTCCCTGCCCAGGGGCCTGTATTTTTTAATTCTTGGAAGAGTCCAAGAGTCCCTAATCATCTTTTTGCCATCCCCACCTCCTCTCCGCTTGTCTTGGGGTCCAAGGATTTCTGCTGTGACTGGCTGCAGACACCTAGGTCCTGGCCCGAGGTGACTTCTGGGACATAAGATAGGATAGGACCCTGTGTCCAGGAGGCTGGGTTTGGACATCCAGACTGAACAGTTCCTGGAGCTCTCCTTTGGGTTAGTAGCCTTCTGTAGGGCCCTGTCTGGTCCCTGGGACTGACTTGTTGAACTTTCTGTCCCTGCTTCCAGCATCCATCCTCCTTCCTTCAATCAGTACCCAGAGCTGAGTATGGGATGCCCTTTGCTGTAATGGGGTCTGTATCCCCTCCCCACTGTATATCCTCCCTCAAGTCAGCCCTTGCCAGCCACAGATCAGCCCCCACCCCTGTAGTGAGCAGGGTTGAGACCTACAGTGTGAAATCATGCCTGCTTCAGCCTTCTACAGTCCCCTTGGCTTCTTTACCTTGTGCCTAGGGCTTGTAGGGAGGTTTCTTGGGGTGAGGATTGGGCAGGCTGGTGAGCACTGAAAAAAAGCCATGTCTCTGGTTGTGGACTGTCCTGTGACAGACACAAGAGTCTGGTCTCAGAACCCTTGTTGGCCTCTGTTTTCTTATTAGTAAGATGGGGACAGCTACTCCCTGCCCCCAGGGTTTTTGAAGACCAGCTGACCTCTTCCAGACTGTTCAGTGAGCCCACAGTGAAAGGTGACAAATCTCTGATTGCCTTTGTTGCTCTTGGCTCATCCCCCAGTCCCTAGGCATGGAGTCCTCCACACTGGCCCCCATCCGACCAGGAGGCCCAGTTGCCTGAGGTTCCTGAGCATGCGGCTAGTCCTGTGTCACCTGCTGGCCTGCATGGGCTAGCCTATGCTGTGTGTCAGCAGTGTTTGGCTTGTTCATTAGTTACTAAGGAGGTTGGGGCTCCTCCCCAAGGCAGGTATCCAGTGGAGGACAGGGCCGAATCTCATAGAAGTGAGTCCCTTGTCTGAGCAGTGCTGAGCTCTCCTGGGCTACTTTTCTTCTGCCTTTGGCCACCAAAGCCTGGTTTGTGAGAAGTCCAGTCATGTCAGTCTGTTGGTCAGTCCTGCTGGACCTCTGGAAGACAGTCATTGTCCAGAATGGGAAGGGAGGTGGCCATCCTTGGCTTGAACCTTGATAGGCAAGGTCAGTTAGGCCCACTGGCCACAGGGCTCTGCAGTACATTTCTCACAGAGTGATGACCATTATGTACTGTTTCTGAGAGGTGTTTCTAGAAACAGTGTAGACTGTCCAGTCCCTCCCAATGGTGAATCACAGGAAAGACTAGCATGGGCAGGTGTGAGGAGCACTGTGGGGGCCTCAGAGGAGTCATCTGTTGTGCTCAAGAGAGCTGAGTGGGAGCTCCGGGTGGCTCAGGGGCGGATGGAAAGTTTCCTACCTGCCTTCTGGCCAGGAAAGCATGATGGGGAAAATGAGGAAGAAATTGTTTTCCTGTGTAAGCAGAGAGATGGCCTGCTTTAGAGATGAGAGCCCAGTGGGTTGACTGCTTGGTCTTCCCAGCATCCAGGCCAGAGGCCAGCTAGAAAGATACAGCATTTGAGAAACTAGATGGGAAATCAAGTCATGAGGGCCTGTGCTGTGGGGGGCTGGGCTTATCCCACAGCTCAGCTATTTGGGCTGATCAACAAGGTCCCTCTGTCCACAGTGTCTTGGCACCCATGTGTGGGCCTTACAGGGACCAGACCCATCACCCTTGGCTGTCCAACCAGGTGTCACCTCTCATTTCACTGCAACACAAGCAGCATCTAGGGTCAGAGCCTTGTTCAAGGGCCCTTGAGAGTTCTGGACCCAGCTAGGCCTCCTTCCCTAAAGGGATAGAGAGTCCCTTCCTATCCTCTTCAACCCCGCCTTCATCTCTGAGGCTGTTAAGATCCCTGGGGGTTGGGGTAGGCACCTTAGGCCATTTGAGGGGCATGTACAGGCCTGGGCTGCACCTGAAGCAGGCAGGATTGGTGATCACTTAAAGGACAAGGTCTGGTCTCTGCTGGTCAGGCATGTGGTGTGCAGAGAAGAGGCCAGATGATTGAATGGTGGTGTGTTCTCAGCTTCTCTAGAGTCACAGGCCTCCCTGCAGTCTTCACTGATTGAGTTAGAGATTCTTATGGAAATTTCCCAAAATGTAGAAATACCTCAGGGAGTTGTGGTTTCCAGGGAAACCTGGATTTCTTGGGGGGCCTGGACTTGTCCAGCTGTCCTGGCCTGCCCACAGAGGTTCTAACCCTTACCAATAACTTAAAGGGGTAGAACACTTGCAGTCACTCTGTCCTGGTTATATATAGTCTACATCTCTAAACATCCTTGTAGCTGTAAAGAGACAACAAATGAGCAAACAGGTGGGGAGCTCTCTGGGCAGTGTTGCAGATGAGCAGATAAACCTCATCTTTATGGAAACCAGCATGAGTCAGATATGAAAACCTGCCCATTCAGAGACTCAGAAGGAAACAGCATGGTCAGGAGCCTGGGGAACTTTGACATGGAAGTTGCTAGGTGTTGGGGACGCTCAGACTCCTAAGCACTGGCCTGGTGGGTAGGAGGCCTATCTCTGGTTCTGGAAATACTTGAGCCTGGAGTGCATTCGAGGAGCCTGTGACAGTGTCTAAAGAGCACAGGTGGAGCCCAGTGGTAGACATGGGGTCTTCAATGTCTTCCAATAAGCAAACCCACAGGCCTTTGATGATCCTTGTGTTCCTGGCTGTCCCACTGCATCATGAATGAGGTGAGGTGCTCTGAGCCCCTGCAAATGAGAGCCCAGGGCTGACTTGGCCCTCAGAAGCTCACAGTATGAGCATGCAAGTCCACTGTCTACTGTGGGGTTGAGTCTGGGCAAAGAGGCAAGTCCTTAGGACAAAGACCTCTTTGGGGGAACTTTGTGAAGGTTGCTAACAACTGGGTTTGAACACATAGGGGCTGAATTGACTTGTGGAAGCATGGAGAAGAGATGGGATATATGCTCTGGGCCTTCTGTGCACCTTGAAGTTGGATGGAAGGGGTGGACCTGGTTCTGACCTTGGTCATATCCTTTAAAGACTAAGGTGACATCAGTGGGGCCCAATTTTGGGAGAAAGGTAGGCTCTGAGTTGGTGATTACTGTCCCTGGAGAGGGAAGTTGATGAGGGAGGGGTGTTCTTTGTGAGGAACCTTGGTGTGTACCCCATTTCTTGTTATTACAAACAGCACTGAGTGAAACAAGCTACCTTGCCATGGGTATTTTCAAGTGACTATCTGTGCCTCCCCCTAGTGGGTATGCACCTCCCTGGTATGGCTGCTAGAGGTTGAGTGGGGGGCCTTGGTTACCTTTTGGGGATGAAGGCTGGCAGAGATTGGGACTGAGGGCTCTGGCTGGCCCTGCCTCCTCCATTGCCTGTCTCTGAACTGATGGACTCCAGTTCCCTTGTCTGTAATGTGTGGGTGACATTCCTGGGTGGGTGTGGATTCAGGTCACCAGACTCAGGGCTTGGTGGGTGATCTTCACTGGCTCATGCTGCCTGAGGTTGAGCAGAGTGAGACCTAATCCCAGCAGAGTGTAGAAGGCTAGGGAGCATGGCTGGCCCTGTCCTAGACAATGACTCTCAGTCTCCCACCCATCAGCCAGTCTTTAGGCAAAGCTTTGGATTGCAGTCGGTGT